CTGAATTTTTCCTCAGCCAAACCCCATTTCACAGCCATACCCGTCACACACCCAGTTTAAGAGCAGTGCTTGTCTTCTTGTAATTAGGAGCGCTTGTCCTCCTAATTTAAAAAATATAGGAGCACCTTCTGATCAATAATCAAAAATTCTGATCAAGAATTAGCCTTCATAATACGAGCTGACATTTGACACAAAGTGATTTCAGGGGCATTTTCTTTTTACCTTTGAAAATGCATTTTTTAAATTTTATTAATTTAAATGCATGCAGTGTTTCCTCTAGGATTTTTTCCAGCGGTGGTGGCAGGACTATTTCTCATGGACCACGCGTTTGCGTTTTAATGTGGATGGAGATTTTTTTTTAAATGGAAGAAGGAAAAACTCAGTTTATAAAAATACACGTGTACGTGTGGACATGGCCTTATTTTAACTAAAAAAGACAAGTAAATAGTAAATTATAAAATAAGAACAAATAAATGAATGACAATCAATAGCACAAACAAAAACAATAAGAAGAAATGTTTTCAGTTAGGTCTAACTATAATCTACTCAACTGTAAAATAACACTGGATAGTCTTCACTGTATAATGAAAGGCAGCAGCAGGTTTATTTAGGCTGCTGTCTCTTTAAGACCTCATGCACGGATCTAATATACTGTTACACTCTCAGCTTTCTCTGATACACTCTATGCTTACTTTACTTTTTAGGATCGCTTGTCCTCCTAATTAAAAAAAAAAATAGGAGCACCTTTTGATCAATAATCAAATTCTGATAAAAAATTTGCCTTCCTAATACGAGCTGACATTTGACTCCTTAAAGTGACTTACAGGAGTATTTTCTTTTTACATTTTCAATGGCATCATTTTCAACTATGTCAAATTAAAAAATGTATGTTTATAAGCTTTTTAAAATTTATATTTAAAACAATATAATAAGTAGAATAAGACAAATAAGTTACCAATCATATGTCAAATTTAAAAATGCATGTTTATAAGCTTTTTAAAATTTCTATTTAAAACAATATAATAAGAAGTAGAATAAGACAAATAAGTTACCAATCATATGAAATTAGTATTAATAAATTAATTTGTACTACAGAGGTGGCACAGAAGAACACAAAAGTGGCTTGTAGGTACATTTTCAGACATTTAATGAGGCTCAGAGGTGGCATGAGTGCAATTAAATTCATACATTCATGTGGAGATTAATGTTTTAAATATAACATTTTGAATACAGAAATATTAAATGATTTAAATAACTGAAATTATACGCTAAAAATGAAACTAAATCCACCAGCAGGTGGCGGTAAGTCATTGATTTTATCACGGAATCATTCATTCAATTGATTCGTGTGAACAGCTGATTCATTCAGGAATTAAATCTTTATGAATGGGTAATCATGAATCACTGACTCAGTAGATTCGTTCAAAAACGCACTTTCATTCATGAATGAAACTCGACTGTGTTTGCTTTTCGAGATGCGCAGCGGCTCAGCTGTTACTATATTTGGAACTATTTTCGTTGATGAAATATATACAATAAGACAATAAGAATGTTTGCGGGAGCGTGACACACACGTTGCGGCAGTGGGTGGTAATGGTCAGAAATTCAGGGGGAGCGGGCTTAAGAAAACTGTCCCGCTCAGGTCTCTAGGCTGCGCGTCAACACACATAGTTTTTTTTTCGCGCTCCCCCAGCTCCACCCCAATCATTAGTGCCGCTTGTTCTTTGACAGAACATGTAGGACAATTTTTTAAATAGCGCCATAAACAAAATTTATTTCAAA